AAATATTTTAGACATTTTTGGTATTTTTCTTATGATTTTAAAATTTTAAATATGCAACTAAATGCAAGCAACAATTAACAAAAAATTCCTAAAACTTCTATAAAAAATAAAATAATTAGAAAAACCTATTTTGAATTTGTAGGAGTATTTTCCGTCGGGCAAAAATCACGTGCTCACAATATATATATATATATATATATATATATATATATATATATGTGTGTGTGTGTGTGTGTGTGTGTGTGTGTGTGTGTGTGTATAAAAATTATATGTTATTTATTCATATGAATAATTGACTAAACCCTTACGCGCTAATATTAACGTGCAACACACGTTCTTAGAAACTAATACTATATTAAAAGCACGTATGCCCTTAGCAAAAAAATGTCGTTCGCCTTTTATACCCCTTTACAATACATTTTATGTTGGATAAAGAAGTAATTTAATTTATTTTCCTAATATGTAGGAATAGTCATTAAATATTTTTCTAATATTAAAAATAGCTATTTTAATTATTTACCTAATATTTAGGACTTTAATTTGAAAAATCATAATAGCCATTTAATTATTTTATCTAATATCCAGAACTTTGATTTGACAAATCATATTATTTGGTTCAATTCCTTTTCAAGGGTACTTCACTATCAACTCCAATTATAGGAGCATTTTTAAGACCACAAATATTATTTTTTGTTATAAATATTTTGCTTTAGGAATTCCTATTTTTCTTTTCTTCTTCCGGTTTAGTTCCTTTTCTCGGTTATGGGTACTTTTTTGGTTATAAAATTTTATGTTTAATAGTCCTTATTTTTCTTTTCTTTTTTAGAACTCCTTTTCTTTGTCTATTGGAACTATACACAATTTTACCTAACATAGATCCTTTCCACGACACATATTATATTTGTGACATATGTCTTTATTTTTTACTATTACTGAATTATAGTTAATTAATACGCAATTTTACTTTAGTTTATCTTTTAATCATAATAAATTAGTATAGTTTAGTCCTTGTATATTGAATGAATTATTTTTTTCAATATATTGACCAAGATTGAGGACTTTTATGTGGACGGAATTGATTTTCCCAAAGAATGCGTCATACTCAAAGCACTGTTAGTTCTGAGGTTACAGATATTGAGCAAACCTCAGACGGGACAATTAAGATCTATATTGACCATGATTGAGGACTTTTATGTGGATGTGTTTCCGCCTTATTGAGTTGGTTATATAAAGTCAATATTCTTCATTTTCAGAACTCATATTTTACTTTTATAACTCAAACATAATTTTAAACAAAATATTTATATAATTTTTAAAAAGCTTTTACTTATTTAGACAAGATACACGCGTAATGAGCGTACCATCGACTAGTATTAATTAAATTCTTAAAGTTGAGATTTAAAGAAACGACCTATTCTCATTATAGAATTACATCCACGTTATCTATTATGGGTGCTTAAGCACCCATTACTTTTTTTAAAAACCAACACTATTACTTATATAGAAAAACCAGTAATTTATACAAATATATTAACTAAGCACCCAGTATAAGCAATAATTTTCAAATTAAAACTAGTCGAGCACCCGTAATTTAAATTTTCTGGATCCGCCACTGAACATATTGTGCCACCATGTTGTAATATATCAATTGAGAGAAAAAGAAAATCGTTAAACTTTAATCTGATTTAGCGATGTCCAGTTTTTGAAGGTTAGTGGGAAAATTTATATTACAAATGTAGGTATTCTTTCTTTTTTTCAGCCATATGAATATGTCAAAAAAAGAAAACTTTGCTATATTATTGACATTGATGATACTGATAGGTTTTAATGGTATTGACTTTAATATTTGGAAATTCCATATTATTATATTTGTACAGCTTGGACGTCCGACATTAACAAAGTTTTTCTTAGTTTTTCTAGTTATAGATTGTCTACAGATTAATTCATCACCTTTTAAAAAAAAACTAAAAAATATAAATATTGTTTAAAAATACTTCAAGTAATAAATTTTCTGGTTAAAATACTTCCGAAAATATTAGGTTCAAGAAGTCTAAGAGCCCGTTTGGACATGAGAAATTTTTTACTTTTTTCGAAATCAGTGTTTGGTCATAAAATTTCCAATTTTCACTTGAACATAGATTTTAGATTTTTTTCGAAAATTTAAAAAACTCCAAAAAACTGTTTTTCAAAATTTTCACTCATATCATTCACAAAAAATAAAAAACAACCCAAAATTATATTCATATCCAAACACAACTCTAATTTTCAAATATCATTTTTACTTGAAAAATAATTTCACTTTTTTTTGGAATTATAATTCTTATGTCCAAACGTCCACTAAGTTAACAATACTTTGATGTCATAACCAAAGAAAGGACAAATATAACGCAATTTTGTTCTAAGCGAAAGAAAATAATTTGATGCCAGAATTGTGGACTTAGATTTTTTTCTGATTGGTCCAAACACGTATTTGTTTTTTTAAAATAGAGATATGTAACATCAAAACTTGAATTATAACCCCAGCCTGCTCTAACACAATGTTAATATAATTTCTTTAACTTATATATAAGAGGACAACATACAATAAATTCTAATATGTATATGCATTAACAGAAAGAAAGAGACAATATGAAAGGAACACATAATAATAATAAACCAAATGACTACAAAGACAAGTTTTGTCCATCTTTTATCCTCCAAACTCCAAAGTGCTATCAAGCCTGAGACAATTTTATGGAATCTTCGAGAATCTCTACAAAATAATTTAAAATTTTAATTATTTATATTTTTTCTTCCTTGTTACTACTATAAGTTATCAATGAAAAATTATATTGTTTACCATTCAGTATTCAAAACTCACTTATACAATTGACACATTAAAAAGAAAGCGATTTCTACTAAAAAATTTCTAGAGTGCTCATTTCAGGCGTGTCTGTTTTAGTGAAAACAAAGGAGGAAAATATAAATTCCCTCGAATCCTTTCCCAGGGAGTCTTGGAGCAACGGTAAAGTTATCTCCGTGTGACATATAGGTCGTCATGGGTTCGAGCCATGGAAGCCGTCATTAATACTTGCATTAGGGTGATTGTCTATATTTTACCTCTTGGACGAGGTGCGGCCCTTCTCTCGGCCCTACGTGAATGCGGGATGCTTTTTCCTTTGAATCCCTTCCCTAACAGAATAAAAACCTAAACAATTATAGTAATATCCGAGAGAAAACCACAAGCAAACAATACAAATAAGTATGTGATCTTCCTAAACATACAAACAAAACCTGGCCTTAAAAACTTCACATCATTCTCTGTAGTTTCCAAAGAAAGCATTGTATACAATTTTCGCGGACAACTGTTATCTAAATACATCAAATAAACAAATATTAAGGGCCCGTTTGGCTCATAAGAATTTTTTTTTTTTCGAAATCAGTGCTTGTCCATGAAAATTTCAAATTTCACTTGAAGTTGAATTTCGGAATTTTTCGGAAATTTGAAAAACTCCATAAAACTGTTTTTTAAAATTTTCACATCAAATCACTCACAAAAATTCAAAAACAGCTCCAAATTATATTCATATCCAAACACAATTCTAATTTTCAAATACTCATTTTTACTTAAAAAAACAAATTTCACTTTTTTCGGAATTTTACAATTCTTATGCCCAAACACCCACTAAGTAAACTAGCTAGTCTCCCTAGTGTTGTATATATAAAAACAGCTCCTATGTCTCAACTGCCCAAAAAGAGTTAGAAACAGATACTGTGAATATACCAATATGGATACAGTGGTGCCACAGGCATATCTAAATAACACATCCACAGCACCAGATTGGTTGAACAAAGGAGACAATTCATGGCAATTGATTTCAGCCACTTTGGTTGGATTGCAGAGCGTCCCCGGGCTGGTAATTTTGTATGGAAGTATAGTGAAGAAGAAATGGGCTGTTAACTCTGCTTTCATGGCTCTCTATGCCTTTGCTGCTGTTATCATTTGTTGGGTTGCATGGGCTTATAAGATGTCCTTTGGGGAACAACTCCTTCCCTTCTGGGGCAAAGCAGGTCAAAGTCGGATTCAAAATTTAAACTTGATATATATATATATATATATATATATATATATATATATATGATCCACATTTAATACTTCTAATTTAGTACTAAGTTAGTTGCACTTTAAATTATAAGGTTCAAGGTTTAATATTTATTGAACTTTAGTGAGTTTTCTTGTGTACACGTATGTTTTGTGTTGAAAATGTTGGATTCAGTTGAATCAGTTATCACAAGCTTCAACCTCCCTCTAAAGTAGGTCGTATTGAATGGTGTGATTATTTTATCTCAGAACTTAAATAGTTTGGTAAGATGATATAAAATGGATTTATAACTTTAATACTAGATCAATTAACACTAATTACTTGGCGTACCTTGTTACATGGGTCGTGATTAACTTCACTTTCATCTAGATTTCATCAAGTGGTCCTCTAGGAAATTCTAATAGACTAGAAGTCCTTCTAGCCCCTTATGTTAACTTCAATTTCAGCACGTCTTCAATGTGAAATACGTTTGAAAGTTCTTTTGGACAACGGCAATGAGACTTAATCCATAACCTCTACATGTTTAAGCTGTTATGTTATACCATGGGCGGAGTTAGGTGGACAGAAGGGTTAACCGAAACCCCTTCGCCAAAAATTATTCTGTATATTTATGGTCAATTTCTTTTTCCATATATATATATATATATATTAGAGGGGTTTCTCTGATGGTAAGCAACTTCCACTTTCAACCAAGAGGTTGTGAGTTGGAGTCACCCCAAGAGCAAGGTGGGGAGTTCTTGGAGGGAAGGATGCCGATGGTCTATTGGAAACAGCCTCTCTACCTCTCTACCTCATTACTAACTTCTTCGTGTGTTTATTTTTTTTATTTTCTGAATCCCTTGGTAGAAATCGTGCTTCAGCCACTGTGTTTAACATAATACATTTTTATTTATTTAATTATATTTTCAACAGGTCCAGCATTAGGCCAGAAGTTTCTCATCAAACAAGCCGCCTTACCTGCCACTACCCACTACTTCAGCGACCACACAACAGTGGAAACAGCCATGGCGACGCCATTTTACCCAATGGCGTCCATGGTTTGGTTCCAGTGCGTGTTCGCGGCGATAGCGCTGATTCTGCTGGCTGGATCTTTGCTTGGGAGAATGAATATAAAAGCATGGATGATGTTTGTGCCTTTGTGGCTAACTTTTTCATATACAGTTGGGGCATTTAGCCTTTGGGGTGGTGGATTTTTGTATCATTGGGGTGTGATTGATTATTCGGGTGGTTATGTTATTCATCTTTCTTCTGGGATTGCTGGCATTACAGCTGCTTACTGGGTCAGTAACTTCTTCCTTTTGTTTTAATTACAGTCGGACTTCTCTATAACAATATTCTTGTATAATAGTTTGCGACCGATTCGGTCGCAAATGGCATAATTTCAAATGTCTCCGTATTTTTCAATTTGTGACTGAATCCGTCACAAATTCTCGCAAATGGCCTATATTCAATTGTCCACGTATTTTTCAATTTGCGACTTGCGACTGATTCCGTCCGTCGCAAATATATTGCGACCATGTGTTTTTCGACTAACACTTTTTAGTAGGAAATCCGTCGGAAAAATCATTCACTATAAAAGTTGTTTTTTGCACTGTTTACTAAAGAAGACACTAGATTTTGACAAAATGATATGGCATTACAGCTGCTACTGGGTTAGTATCTTCTGCCTTCTTTTCTAATTAGTTGTTTTTTCCACAGTTTACTGAGGAAGACTCGAAACACTATAAGAGATAGAGAATTGTCTAAAGGGAAAAGATACAAATATACCCTAAACATTTGTGATTTATCTGAAATATGTTTTACATTTATCTTTCGTGGAATCCCACGCTATCTTTCGTCTCAAATATTTCCCTCCTACTAACGATTTTTCATCGTGAAAAATTGTCCAAGTCATGTAGGAGTATATATATTTGGACCTCTACAAGTAGAGGCGGATCCAGGATTTAGTGTTTATGGGTTCCTGCAATAATTTCGAGTAAATTTTCAATAGTAACTGGGTTCACATTCAAATATTTATAAATATTTAATAATTTTTTTAACACATTTACACTGTTTGAACAAAAACTATTGGGTTCACGTGAACTCGTAGGTCGCAAGGTGGATCCGCCCTCTATAAGTGGTTATGGGTATATTAATTCTAATATTTTCATTTGTTCAGGGGTAGACTTCAAATTATTGCAGAGAGTATACATAAACTAGTTTGATAATTTAGGGATAAATTGGATCATTTGTCTGTATACGCGGCTCTACTAGGGCAAATATCAGGTCAAGCCAAATAACCGTTACAGAAAAAAAGACAGTCCAATGCACAAAGTATTCCGCGTTCATGCAAGGTCGGAAGAAAGGCCGCATCTTTAGGGGTGTGATGCAAACAGCTGAAAACCGTGACCTATAGATCTTATTCATTTTCTTCTTCTTTGCCTTTCAGGTAGGTCCAAGGACAAAAATTGACAGAGAAAGGTTTCCACCAAACAATATCTTATTGATGTTAGCAGGGGCAGGGCTACTGTGGATGGGATGGGCTGGTTTCAATGGTGGAGATCCCTACAGTGCAAATATTGATTCCTCCATTGCTGTACTCAACACTAACATCTGTGCTGCAACAAGCTTACTTGTCTGGACATGGCTCGATGTTATATTCTTTGAAAAGCCTTCTGTCATTGGAGCTGTTCAAGGAATGATTACTGGTCTTGTTTGTATCACTCCTGGTGCAGGTAACCTCGACACCGATAATAATAACTGCGCTTTAGTCCCGTATAGGTTGGGTTGACTCTATGAATTCTCAATAATAACTTTAATACGGACAATAATAATGGCGCTTCAGTCTCGTATAAGTTGGATTGATTATATGAATTCTCAATGGTCGTTTCTTCGTTTAAATTCATGGAAAAAGATTATACAAAAGAAAAATAAAAAGTACTAGAAATTCTTTATATATTTTCTAGTAGTATAAAAATCCCTAATAGACGAAAAGGCTACAAGAAAGTATAAGATCTAAAGTAAACGTAATCATTAACATGACTAAAAACTTTTCACTAATTGGTATAGCCTATCTGGGCGGAGCAAATGAAGAAGTTATGGGTTTATCTGAACACATTAACTTCGGCTTAGGCCCTATATATAGGTTAAAATCTAGCTAAATAAGTGCAAAAATAGATTTTGAACCCAGTAAATTAGACACGATGTAGTAGAATTTTGAAATTTGAACTCATAAAGTTCAATTAGATCCGTCTCAGTCGCCTGTATAAATCTTTTTCGTTCATTGTGCCTTATCTTTTGCTAAAATTGCATTGTCCATTGTGTTTAAGACACACTTTGAATGTACTTTAGGTGTCTAACACGTTACGGTACTCTCAATTGTTGAATCGTCTAAATGAAAAAAAAAAGTGACAAATTTAAGGGACTAAATTATGTACATTAATTTGGCCTTACTTAAAAGCTACTTTTAAATACTTTTGATTATCTGTATGCTTAATCTGTTCTTGCAATTATAGGTCTAGTTCAAGGATGGGCAGCTATAATAATGGGAATCCTATCAGGAAGTGTACCATGGTTTACAATGATGATCGTTCACAAGAGGTGGCCATTGCTCCAGAAAATCGACGACACGCTCGGCGTCTTCCACACGCACGCCGTCGCCGGTTTTCTCGGCGGCACGCTCACCGGACTCTTCGCCAAGCCGGTCCTCTGCAACCTCTTTTTGCCCGTGACCAACACGAGGGGTGGCGTTTACGGCGGTTTAGGTGACATCCAATTCTTAAAGATAGTTTCCTTGAAGCGCCTTGATTGCTATACTCATTTCATATTTTTCATAAAAAATCTCTTGCACGATTTGACAACAACAAAAAATTTAGTGTAATCCCACTAGTTTAGTTTGGGGAAGGCAGTATGTACACAGACATTACCCTTACCTTGAAACTTGCACGATTTCACTCTTTTATAACGCCTTGCTTATCCTCATTCTATATTTTATTTATAAAAATTAGCTTCCGCAATTTCACTCTTTTAGACAATTTTTTCATTTTTCTACAACTTTAATACTAGATCAATTAACACTTTTTACATTCATTCCATTTTTTACATAATATCCTTGCTTATCCGCATTCCATATTTTTTTTTCTAAAAATTCTTTTGCAAGATTTCACTCTTTTAGTTAAATTTTTCATATTTTTCTACAACACAGGTAACATTTAATTTTTTTTATTTTTTATTTTCCTAAAAACGCCTTGTTTACATTCATTCCATATTTCTCATAAAAATCTCTAGCACAATTTAACTTGTTTAGATTATTATTTTTCAATATTTCTACAACACAGGCGGCGTCCAGTTCATGAAACAGATTGTGGGTGGTGGATTTATTATCGGATGGAACGTCGTTGTGACTTCGATCATTTGCTATTTGATAAGTTTGTTAATGCCACTGCGCATGTCGGAGGAGCAACTGAAGATAGGAGATGATGCAGTGCATGGCGAAGAAGCTTATGCATTGTGGGGAGATGGAGAGGTTTATGATTCAACTAAGCATGGATTATCATCTCCAGATAATACTACTCATGGAAAAATTGCTAGTAGGAATACAGAAATGATCTAGCAAAAAAATAAAAGGAAAATTGGATAAATAAGTATATGGTCGGGTGAAAAACTTATATGCATCCTACGTTTACACCAAAATAAAATCAAGATTGCAAAACATGTCTTTTTCATATACACATTTTTCTTTTTCTATGCGGTTGTGATTTACATGCTTGCTTGGAGCCTAGCGTTTATCGGAAATAACCTCTCTACCTGCATAAGGTAGGGTAAGGCTGCGTACATAATACCCTCCCTAGATCCCCTATTTGTGGGATACATTGGATTTTGTTGTTGTTGTTGTATTGTTCAGATTAAATTACTTAATTTACGGGTTCGAGCCGTGAAAACAGCCTCTTGCAGAAATGCAAGATAAGGTTGCGTACTATAGACCTTTGTGGTCAGGCCCTTCCTCATACCCCGTATATGGCGGAAGCTTAGTACATGTGACTGCTTTTTTAGTGTGAATACTAAGTACGGGTAAGTATTTACGACAAGGGGTGTGCTCAATTTGCATTATGTAGAAATTGCTAGAGGGACTACAGAAAAAGAAAGAAAAAAAAAAAAAAAAAAAAAAAAAAAAAAAAAAAAAAGGAAAATTGGATAAATAAGTATATGGTCGGGTGAAAAACTTATATGCATCCGACGTTTACAACAAAATAAGGAACGCAAGGCATGTCTTTTTCATATACATATTGTTCAGATTAAATTACTTGATTTAGTGTATGTTCAAAACCTTGATAGATGCATACATGGAAATTAAAGGGGTTAATACATAAATTTCTGTTTTAGCTTGTTCAAAATTTTAAGTTACGTTTACATCATGTACTAATACAATAATGTATATTTTGAGACAAGGAAATATATTTAATTACAATTTCAGATATATCAAGATTTAATTTTAGGTCAAAATATTATCTGTCTATCCCTTGTATCTTCATCTTTTCAAAAGCTCAAACAATTTATTTTTGGAAGATCAAATTTCCGGCTTAAAATCTACAAATGATGAAGATAAAACATATAACATGCAAAAATTTGACTACTCTTATTTTATAGAACAAATGACAATTTAAAAACATTTAAATGAAACCAAAAAATGAAAAAAATATATGATTATTAATTAATATTTTGGTCATTTATATTTTCTGAACAATTCACAATAAAAAATAATTGTACAACATTTATATTTTCTGAACAATTAACACGTATATAATTCAATTAGTTTAATCTATATCTATATACTATATTAAAAGCACGAAACCCCTTAATCGAAATGTCGTTCACCTTTTTTTATCCTTTAAATATAGATTTCACACTAGAAAAAATAGTCATTATATTTTTCTAATATTTAATAATTTGAAATTAATTAAAATTGTGCTAATTAAGTCTTTCCTTATTTGAATTATGTATGAAGTCCTAATATTTAGCACTTTAAAGCTAATTAACATTTTATGTTATATATAATCCTTTCTTTTAGATTTTATTACTTGAACACAAAATAAGATAAACAATAATTCTAAACTAAATATTAAAACATGCTTTGACTTAAACACTCTCTTACCAAATCCTGGAAAAGTTCAACTCTTCTTCTTAAATGTCGTTTCAGTTTGAAGTGTAAGGACTAAATATTTAACAATAAATTTAAACTAAAGAATTTATGTAATAACCACTTAACCTGTAAAAGAAAGATGGACAATGCTTTACAACGGAAAGGAACACATTTTTCTCCATAAGAGTATGAAGATTCACGTTTATTTTTTGATATAATATTTTCTCTATTATATTTTATTTAACTAAATAACGTGTTGTTTCATTTATTAAATGCTAACAGTTGATGTAATATTTTTTAATTTCTTAATGTTATACAAAGTAAAATAATGATATTATCACTGTTGGAAGGTGTATATACTAAAATTTGCCTTTTCAACTATTTTCTTACTTACATATTAGATTAAAACTAAAAAATATATAATTTAAGAGGAAAAGATTAACACTTTGATAGGAGTGTATATTTTAAAACCTAATATTAATTATGTCTAATTAAATATGAATATTAGATTTACTACAAAAGCTACAGTAAAGAATTTATTATTCACAAAAATATAATAGTAAATTAATTAATAAGTACTTTTGAATAGTAGCATAAATTATTTTTTAGCTTTTAAGCAAAAGCTGAAAAAGGTTGCGTCTCTAAAAAATAAGTGCTTTTGATAGTTTTAGGACAAGAATACTCATATAAAAAAATCATATTAACCAAACTAATTCGTAGTAACTTTTTGAATATTAGAATTATCTATTAATTTTTCATAAAGTTATTTATCTATATTATATTACCATTAAACTAAAAAATAATTAAGTGAGAATACTTTAAAATATAAGATTATGTGCGTTGTTGGAAGTAAGGTTTGACTAAAAAAATAAAAGGATATTTTGACATCGATGTTGAGATTAAAAATAATTTACATTTGAAAATTTAAGCTCTTATTTTTGTTAAGATTTACTTGAATATTTATGAGGTCCAAAACTCATATTAGGTATTTGAGCAACCAGAATTCATTGCTTTAAGGTCATCGAGAATACTGAATTATTGCATGATATTTGAGTACAAATCAAGATATTTTTATATTAGGTCTGAATGTGATGACCTGATAGGTCATCTAGAGTTTTAAACCTTAATTCTGTGTTTCGAAACTTCAAATAGATCCTTTTTGCCTTTTTCGATTTGCGTGCGCGATCCGTGTCTTTTTTCGGAAGGCTTTTATGCGAAAACTTGATTAAAATGTGAATTCATGCCTTGAAAAATTCACTTGAGTTGACCTCGGTCTACGTTTTGAGCAAACAGACCCGGTTCCATATTTTGACTGTCCCGGTGGGACCGTATCGAGATTTGGGACTTGGGCGTATGTCCGAAATCGAATTTGGAGGTCCCTAAACTTGAAGTTTAAAGGTTTAAAGAATTTAAAGACTTGACCAAATTGACTTTATTGCTACCTAGTCCGGATTTTGGTTTCGGCGCTTGACATAGGTTCATTACCATATTTATGACTTGTGTGCAAGATTTGGTGCAAAACAGAATTGGTTTGACGTGGTTCGGACGTCCGGTTGTTAAGATGGAAATTCTTAAGCTTCATTAAAAATTTTACTTGATTTGGTGTCCGATTCATAGTTCTAGGTGTTATTTTGATATTTTGATTACTCGAGCGAGTTTGTATGAGGTTTTTGAGCTTGTGTGCATATTTGGTTTGGAGTCCTGAGGGCTCGGGTGAGTTCCGGATACGCTACAGAGTGAATTTGGACTTAGAAAATAGCTTGTGCAAAATGTTTCTTGTGCAGGCCTCAGACCTCGCAATCGCAATTGCGAGGTCTGGCTTCGCATTTGCGATATGGGAGTGTCCATGTCAGGTTTGCATTTTCGAGCTACTTCCTCGCATTTGCGAAGAATAGCTGGGCACCAATGGTTCGCAATTGCGAAGTGGGGCTGGGGGAACAGAGTTCGCATTTGCGATCAATATGATCGCAATTGCAAGGAGTCCAAGTTCGCATTTGCGAATAAACCATCGCAATTGCGATGGCAGCACAAGTGTGAGACCTTTGCATTTGCGGGGTTCGCAATTGCGAACCCCAAGTCACAATTGCGACATCTGCGCCTGGACTTAAGCTGCGTTAGACGGGATTTTTCTCATTCTTCCCAATTTTTAACCCTAAAAAACCTTGGATGCGCTTTTTTAAAGAGCTTTTCCTCCCAATTCATTAGTAAGTGATTCTAACCTACTTTCTTTCAATTACCCATTATATTTCATAAGATTTAAACCTTAAATCTGGGGGTTTTATGGTAGAAATTAGGGAAAAATTTGAAAAGACTTCTTAGTCTAAAATTCGGGGATTTGGAAGGTGGTTTGAGGTCGGATTTGAGTAAGTCTTGTATGGTTGGACTCGATATCGAATGCGTATTCGGATTTTATAATTTTGATCAGGTTCCAAGACGTGGGCCCGGGTCGACTTTTTGTGCCGAGTTTTCAATTCTTTGCTAAAGTCATAGTTTTATTATTTAAATTAGTTTCTTGTAGATATATTTATAGCATGTAATTATTTTGGCTAGATTCGAGCCGATCGGAGTCGGAAAGTCGAGGAAAGGCATTCTTATCGATTGAATGAGCGAGATTTTAGGTAAGTGACTTGTCTAACCTCGTGTGGGGGGAATCTCAACTTAGGATTTGGCACTGTTGTATAATTTGTGATATGCGAGCGACGTGTGTGCAAGGTGACGAGTGCGTATACGGGCTAAATATGAAAATTTTGGTTCTTGCTGAGTAGTCTTTTTTTAAATTCCTTAACTGAGTTGCCTTAGCATGTGTAGCTACCATGTTTAGCCTAGTATCGCATGTCTACGTGTCTTAACTTTTACTTGAAATTTGTGCAACATGCTTAGTTGAATTACTTGCATCTGAAATCTTGTATTCAGTCTTTAACCGTATGATTCCTTGTTGTAAATTCGTTGTTCCATAGGTTACAAGTTGTGTATTTTCTTTTGGGACCACGAGGCGGTAGCTCGGGAGATCCCCCGCTGCATATTTACTTGTGGGACTACGAGGCGGTATCTTGGGAGATCCTCCTGTTACATATTTACTTTTGGGACTACGAGACGGTACCTCGAGAGATCCCCCTGTTACATATTTACTTTTGGGATTACGAGACGGTACCTCGGGAGATCCCCCTATTGTGCATTTACATTTGGAATTACGAGACGATACCTCTGTTACACCCCGCACTATTACGTCGATGTTACACCATGTAGTATTGTACGTTGAAATTTTTGTAAGATAACTGACCTCAGTTTAAGGACAAGATTATTTAGAGATTATAAGTATTATGCTACTTCAAACAAGTGATAAATAAATTTGTGAAGGTGAGGGAGTAAGCGAATCGAAAAAAGTGAGTTTTCGTGAAAGTTTGACAATTTGGGGATAAAATACAGTCCAAGTTATAATACTCCGTATTTATGGACTTGTGCCATACAAGGTA